AAAAAAAAAAAAAAAAAAACTTAAATGCTAGTTTCAAATTTTTTATTTTTAACAGCTTTATTAGAGGTATGGTTGATATATAATCAATTGCACATATTGGAGGTGTTCAATTTGATACGTTTTGGCATATGCATAGTCTTTGAAACCATCACTGCAATCAAGAGATTGAACGTATCCATCATCCCTTTTGTAATTTCTTGCCTCCCTCCCTGTTCCCAGGTAACAGTTGACATGTTTTCTGCCACTAGATTAGTCTGCATTTTTTTTTGTTTGTTTGTTTTTGAGACAGAGTCTCATTTCATCGTCCAAGCTGGAGTGCAATGGCATGACCTCAGCTCACTGCAACCTCCACCTCTGGGGTTTAAGCACTTTTCCTGCCTCAGCTTCCCAAGTAGCTGGGACTACAGGGATGCACCACCAGGCCCAGCTAATTTTTGTATTTTTAGAAGAGATGGGATTTCACCATGTTGGCCAGGCTGGTCTTGAATTTCTGACCTCAAGTGATCTGCCCGTCTCAGCCTCCCAAAGTGCTGGGATTATAGGCGTGAGCCACCGCACCCCACCTAGTTTGCATTTTTAAGAATTTTATATAAATTTTTTAAAAAGAAAAGAAAGAAGTTTATATAAATAGAACCATACAGTACCTGACCTTTTTTGTTTGACTTCTTTCACTTAGTGTAATTATTTTGAGATTTATCTAGGTTTCTGCATGATTCACTAGTCCATTCCATCTTATTGCTCAGTAGTATTCCATTATATGGATATACCACACTGTGCTTATCAATTCACCTATTGATGGACATTTTGTTGATTTCCAGTTTTTGGCTATTGCAGATAAAGCTGCTATGAACATTCAAAACTTCATGTGCAAGTCTTTGTGTGGATATATGTTTTTATTTCTCTTGGGTAAATGCCTGTAAGTAAAATAGGTAGATTATATGATAGGCCTGGAAACTGCCAATCTGTTTTCTACAGCAGTTGCACAATTTTATATTCCCACTAGCAGTATAAAAAAATTCAGTTCCTCTATATCCTTGCCAACACTTGGTATGGTTAGTCTTTTGAATTCTACCCATTCTACTCAGTATATGGTAGTATCTCTTTCTGTTTTTAACTTGCATTTCTCTACTGATAAATGGTGTTGAGCATCTTACCATGTACTTATTTGCCACTTAGGCATATTCTTTAAATGTCTGTTCATATCTTGAGCCTTTTAGTGTTTTTTGTTTGTTTGTTTTTGAGATGGCGTGTCGCTCTGTCACACAGGCTAGAGTGCAGTGGCACGACATCTTGGCTCACTATAACACCCACCTACTGGGTTCAAGCAATTCTCCTGCCTCAGTCTCCCAAGTAGCTGGGACTACAGGTGCCTGTTACCATGCCTGGCTAATTTTTGTATTTTTAGTAGAGACAGGGTTTCACCATGTTGGCCAGACTGGTCTCGAACTCCTCAGGGGATCCACCCACCTTGGCCTCCTAAACTACTAGGGTTATAGGCGTGAGCCACCATGCTTGGTCTTGAGCTCATTTTAAAATTGGGTTATTTTGCTTATTAAAGATTTATGACAAGCCCAGGAGCTGTGGCTCTGTCTCCCACGTTCAAGTGATTCTCCTGCCTCAGCCACCTGAGTAGCTGGGACTACAGGTGCATGCCACTATGCCCAGTCAGCTAATTTTTGTATTTTTAGTAGAGACGGGGTTTCACCATGTTGGTCAGGCTAGTCCCAATCTCTTGACCTCGTGATCTGCCTGCCTCAGCCTCCCAAAGTGCTGGGATTACAGGCGTGAGCCACCACACCTGGCCTAAGTTGATTAAATTTTAATCAACTTTTTCCTTCCTTCCTTCCTTGCCTTTTACCCTTCCCCTTCCCTTTTCCCTTCCCCTTCCCTTTCTGTCTTTTTTGAGACAGGGTCTGCTTTGTTGCCCAGGCTGGAGTGCAGTGGCATATAGGCATATTGTGCATAGCTCACTGCAGCCTTGACCTTCTGTGCTCAAGCGATCCTCCTACCTTAGCCTCTCAAGTAGCTGGGATCACAGGTGCACAGCACCATACCTGGCTAATTTATTTATCTATTTTTTTGTAGAGATGGGGTCTCATTATGTTACCCAGGCTGGTCTCAAACTCCTGGGCTCAAGCAGTCCTCCTACCTCAGCCTCACAAAGTGCTGAAATTACAGGCATTAGCCACCACACCTGACCCCATTTCTTTTTGTAGAACCAGGTTTCTGCTAGTAGCATTTTCCTTCTCTTCAAAGAGTTCCTTTAACATTTCTTCTTTCCTTTTTTCCTTTTCCTTTTTTTTTTGAGACAGTGTCTCCCAGGTGGAGTGCAGTTGGGTGGATCTCATGTTTCCAACTGCAACCTACCACCTCCCCAGGTTCAAGCAATTCTTTGTGCGCCTCAGCCAACCTCAGGTGTAATAGCTGATAACTAGCAGGTGATGCCACCATGCCTGGCTATTTTTTTGTGGTGTACTTTTCATGAGACAGAGTTTCAACATAATTGCCAGGCTGGTCTTGGACTCCCTGACTTAAGGTGTCTATCCAAGTTGGCCTCCCCAAATTGCCGGATTAAGGGCATGAGCCCCACACCACTGGCTTCTCTTCGCTTTCTCTCTTCTTCTTTTCGTTTTTCATTTTCTTTTTTTTTGCGGTAGCACTCCCTCTATCCAGGCTGGAGGTCAGTGGGCATGAATCCTGGTTACTGCAGCCTATCGTCTTCCTAGCTCAAGCGAGGTCCTCCCTTTCTCCCTCCTGAGTCACGCTGGGACTACAGGGTGTGCGCCCTTCTTTAGCATTTCTGTAGCATAGAGTCGGGGCGTATGCTGAAAAATTATTTCAGCTTTGATGACTGAAAGAATTCTTATTTCGCTCCTCCTTTTTTTGAAATACACTTTTCACTGGTAACAGAATCCGTCGTTGACAGCTTTTGGGTATTGCTTGTTGTTGCTTGTTGACTGTTCCACTACTTTCTGCACTCATTTTTGAGCCCCAAGAGTCTGCTAGTAACCACTCTTTCTGCTCCTCTGGCAACATGTCTTTTCTCCCTATTTTGTTAGGTTTCATCACTAACTCTACAGTAATTTGATTATCGCCTCGGTAATGTCTCATGTTCTTGTGGCTGGGGGTTCATGAACGTTTCTTGAATCCCTTGGGTGTCCAATTTCATCCTACTTTGATTTTTCACTGGGACATAATTTCTTCAAATTTTTTTCCTGCCCTCCTTCTGGAGACTTTCCACTGTGTATATTTCAACTGAACGTTGTGGGCGTGGTAACTTGAGCTCTGGTTGCAATTTCTTCAGGTTTTTCTTTAAGATGTTCAGGCAGGCCCTGAGAAGCATTTCATCAGAAGTCGATTTGTTTTTTCTGCTACCTGAGCCAAAACCGTTCTTACTACCGCTAACAAGGCCCCTGTGCATTATGAGGTTTTTCCACCTGGACTGTCGGGAATAGACACGTTATTCCTGGCCCATGTGTGATTCAACGTATGATGTCCCACTTCTCCTTGTTGGGGGTTCGTTTCCTAG